TGATCCGGTACAGCTTGTACAACCCGCCGTAACGCGCAAAGGTCTCCGGCGCCAGCAGATCGTGTCGCTGCCTGGGAAGTAGCCCGGGATGCCGACGACGCACGAGGCAAGGCCGAGCAGGACGACAAGCCCCGCCGGGACGGTGGCGTGGGCGCTAAGCTCTGTCACACTGCGCACGGCCTCGTGGCTGCCCCTCGCTTTGTGGCTACCGTCTGCGCCCATAGCCACCGTCAGGAGGAGGCCGAGGCCGTGTGTGTGCTGGGCGATGAGTACGGCGTGTGCGGGCTCGAGGACGCGATCGAGGACGCGATCGAGGTCAAACCAGGACACTTCAAGCTCAGACACCGCTTGGTAGGCTGCTTGGCCGCGGTTGAGGAAGGCGACGGAGTCACCGACGGAGGAGGCAGCATCGGATGGCTGCTGCTCGAGGGGTTCAGGCCTTTGATGCCGGCACTTTCTCAGCAGATGTGCCAGCTGTGTAGCTTCCCAGAGCGCTAGCAATCAGCGCAGCAAGCACGGCCCATCACAACCTGGCCACACCTCTCGCCCCCCAACGGAGTAGACTATGGCCAAGGATACTGCTACCTGGTTCGCCACTGGTCTTCTTCTTGTCAATCCCATTCTTTCCTGTGCAGGATTCACCAGTCTTGGTCGGTCGATCCGCTGGTGAGGCCCATGGCGCAGGAGGCTGTGGATGTGCTGGGGGCGGCGAGGTTGCGGGCGCGGTGCTCAGGGGAGTAAAGGCGGTGGGAGTGGCGGAGGTGTTATGGATGGCGGCGGAGGATGGCGGGAGGGCGATTGGAGAATACGGTGAGGAGGCGATTGGGGTCGGAGGGGTGGGGGATGGAGAGGCCGGCGTGGTTGGCGATCGTGATGCGGGTGGTGTGGCTGCATGAGTGAGTGGAGGTAGAGTGGGGGGCGAGGAACCAGTAGGAGGGAGGGGACCAGAAGGTAGGGGCGTGGCGGGCGTGGAGGATGTAGCCGGTTGGGGTAGGGTGCCACTGGAACGTCTCGTACGAGAATGTGCGAGAGATCAGAACAGGCAGCTGGCCATCCACACTCGGGAGCGCAATCACACTCTGCACATTGCGGGTGTGACCCTTCAGCACCTCAAAGAAGGCACTGTCCGCAGTGTACCGCATGGCACCCATCCCGTCGTCCGCAGGATGCCACACCCGGATCGTTCTGTCTCTCGACCACGAGACCAGGACAGGCAGCTGGCCATCCGCACTCGGCAGCGCAATCAGGCCTCGAAGACCGTCGGTGTGGCCCTCCAGCACCTCACAGGAGGCACTGTGCGCGGTGTACCGCATGGCGCCCATCCTGTCGTCCGCAGGATGCCACACCCGGATCGTTCTGTCTCTCGACCACGAGACCAGGACAGGCAGCTGGCCATCCGCACTCGGCAGCGCAATCAGGCCTCGAAGACCATCGGTGTGGCTCTCCAGCACCTCACAGGAGGCACTGTGCGCGGTGTACCGCATGGCGCCCGTCCCGTCGTCCGCAGGATGCCACACCCGGATCGTCCGGTCGCCAGACCGCGAGACCAGGACAGGCAGTTGGCCATCCGCACCTGGCAGCGCAATCAAGCTGCCTACATAACCGGTGTGGCCCTCCAACACCTCACAGGAGGCATTGCCCGCGGTGTACCGCATGGTACCCGTCCCGTCGTCCGCAGGATGCCACACCCGGATCGTCCTGTCCCACGACCACGAGATGAGGACAGGCAGCCGACCATCCGCACTCGATAGCGCAATCACGCCTCGCACATTGTTAGTGTGGTCATCCAGCACCTCAAAGGAGGCACTGTCCGCGGTGTACCGAATGGTCCCCATCCCATCATCCGCAGCATGCCACACCCGGATCGTCCTGTCCCTCGACCACGAGACCAGAGCAGGCAGCTGGCCAACCGCACTCGGCAGCGCAATCACACCCCGAACATCGTCGGTGTGGCCCTCCAGCACCTCACAGAAGGCAGTGTCTGTGGTGTACCGCATGGCGCCCGTCCCGTCGTCCGCAGGATGCCACACCCGGATCGTCCTGTCCCTTGACCACGAGACCAGGACAGGAAGCTGGCCATCCGCACTCGGCAGTGTAACCACGCCCTCTACATACTTGGTGTGGCCCTCCAGCACCTCACAGGAGGCACTGTGCGCGGTGTACCGCATGGGGCCCGTCCCGTCGTCCGCAGGATGCCACACCCGGATCGTCCGGTCGCCAGACCGCGAGACCAGGACAGGCAGCTGGCCATCCGCACTCGGCAGCGCAATCACACCCTCCACAATATTGGCATGGCCCTCCAGCACCTCACAGAAGGCACTGTCCGCGGTGTACCGCATGGGGCCCGTCCCATCGTCCGCAGGATGCCACACCCGGATCGTGTTGCCCCACGACCACGAGACCAGGACAGGCAGCTGGCTATCTGCACTCGGCAGCGCAATCACACCATTCACATCACCGGTGTGACCCTCCAGCACCTCACAGGAGGCGCTGTCCGCGGTGTACCACATGGCGCCCGTCCCGTCGTCCGCAGGATGCCACACCCGGATCGTCTTGTCCTCCGACCACGAGACCAGGACAGGCAGCTGGCCATCCGCACTCGGCAGCGCAATCACACCCCGCACAAGGCTGGTGTGGCCCTTCAGCACCTCGCAGGAGGCAGTGTCCGCGGTGTACCGCATGGCGCCCGTCCCGTCGTCCGCAGCATGCCACACCCGGATCGTGTTGTCCTCCGACCACGAGACCAGGACAGGCAGCTGGCCATCCGCACTCGGCAGCGCAAGAACACCATTCACACAGTCGGTGTGGCCCTCCAGCACCTCCACGCGTTCACAGTTAGCACGTCAAGTACGTCCACATTGTTCCTACATCCACCAGCAACCAGCGAGCCACCGATGTTGATGACTTTGCCGGACAAGCCAACAAAGCGAA